ACGTGGGTCTTATTCTATCAGAAATGTTGTCATACCAGCAGAGTAGAATGTCCCTCTGTAAGGTCCCGAAGTGATCCGTCTTCAGCTTAGGAAACAGAAGTGACACCTATGCAAACAAGTCAACAGTCACACGATAAGAAAACCCTCTTATCTGTCCGTCGTAAATCATTGCCAGTTACACATATATTCTGTCTCGTTACATTCAAGTACGTCTTTATTATCTGCGGTTTACATAAGATCAAGAAGACACATGCAGTTTTCAGTGTTGACTTAAGAAGATACCAAATAAATAGGCCCATGTCGTGCGATATTCGTGTTTGCTTTGGGCTACAAGTTGATCTATTTCTGCAGGCTACGCATTATATTCATCATTCTCCATCTCTTAACCTCTGTTGTTTCTCTTTGTGCATTTTCCATAAATATTGCTACAATTAACTACATTTTATTCACTGTCTGGAGCAATAAAACAAAAATGTTATTCATTAAATCCTTTTAACGTTTAAAAGGAAACCTTCTTCAAAACCTAGAGACCTACGTCTGTCGGTCCGGCCAATGACTCAAGTGCATCTGTTCCAGTTGCCAGGTTGAATACGCCACTGATTCTTTGGGTTCATTGGTTGTCATTTCATTGACATTTTCTTTTTGTGTAACGAGATTGGTGGCGACGTTGGCATCGAACTACTACACTAATATCTTCGTTTTTAAAACACACTGGCAGTCCGGAAATTTCCTAAAAGTAAATAACAGTCCTACTGTATTCAAGACCAACATTACCTCACAGAACTGAATTAATCTTTAAATCTAATGTGGAAAGTACATACAAGCTGATCTTACCAATGTACAGTAAACCCTCTCCCTACGCCTGGGTAACGTTCTTGAAATACGCGATGTTCAAAGTTAATACTTATAGCAAAAATGGCGTTAGGGAAACCAAAGACACACTAAACACGACACTTAATACGGAAAATTAATTAATAAACATGAATAAATCAGTATTTGTGTTCCTGGCCGAAAGTTGTCAGGATTATCTAACACAAGGGCGACAACCAGTTTTAAAACCGCTGAGAATAAACTCGGTCCTTTCGGTGTGGAAGGTAGTTGATGTTGGCTGTCGTGTACGACGCCATGTGCCTGCCCAAGAGTGACCGCGAAAGAGCGAGGGACCCAAGCTGCGAATAAACTAAACCCCGGTAAGGAGGATGATCTGTTTTATACCGTTACTAAAAACTACACAATTAATGGAGGACTGTCGAAATTTGTCTGCAATTTTACCACCAAATGTAAACAATATCCTTGCTTTTCTTCGCATTCAGTGAATGGTAAACACGTTGCCATTCATAAATACCGTCTCAGAGACGAAATTAGTAATATTAGATCTACAATAAATGAAGAACAGTATGACGTAGTTTCAATATAAACACCCTTTCTTGTTTTATGGAAGGAGAATTAGGAAGCTGTATTTTCCGGAATGTACACTTTATATAACCTCAATTACATTTATATACATTCGAAAGATGTAACTTGGAAAACCAAACGCCTACCACGCTCTCAGGTAAGTTTCGGTTCGTTAAATTTGAGGAGGTATTGTATCTAGAAGTCAGGAAACAAAGCTCTCGCAACTTCAGTACTTCAGAAAGCGTCGGGGTAGAGACGAAGCTTCTCTTGCTAGAATAATACTGAAAACCAGACGAGAAGTGTGACTTAATCTCTCTACGTAGATTAGCTTTACTGTAAGGCTAATAACCAAATTGAATTGTAATTGTGATTCACGTTTCATTCTTCTTGGATTTTAGGCCTTATTAGCAAAACAGTAAAAATAACTTTGTTGTGAATGCCGGGATTTGTCCATGTAAATTTAGTAATTATAAAATTCAGCCTTAAATTAAATAATGTCAAATTGCCTTTGTTTTCTTTAAAGTCATAAATTCATATTAAACAATTCATTACGTTTGATTTCTTTGTATGTTTATGATTGTTACACCAGCTACTGAATTCACATAACACTGAATTACGGGCTTGAAAATTGTTTTAAAAATAGAATCGGGGAAAAATGTGTATTTGAGAATTTTTACTTTGTTTACAGGAACAAGCGAAAACGTTCGTTTCTACAGCCAATAATGTTACTATACAAATTGAAGCACAAACATATCAGGATGCTACATTTTAATTTGGCTTTCTGTTCATTCGGTAATAAGAGGCTTCTGTGATGTCACATTTGTTTCACGAGAAACCTGAAACCCTTAATTTTAGTTTTAAATCAGCCCTTGTTTTGTATCTAATGACGGGTAAATACATTGTAGAAACAGGAGTCGTGTGAATATGGCTGTCTTCTGGGTTGAAGCACCGTGAAGTCCATTATCAGGGCAATGCACCCTGCCCTTATAATGGAGACTTCAAGTACCTCTGAAACGTAGGTAAACGTCTATTAGTCTGCACAAGCGTTAAAACCCAGTAGGCAGCCATCATCATACATCCGTGAGAACCACAAATCCTATTCATAAAAGAAAGAAGGATCTAAAAAATAAGGAAGATATTGTAAAACTTATTAAATTATACGCCGAAGACACAAATTTCTTCTTGAAATATGGAACGAATTAGAAACTGCAGATACTTCGCATTTGCAACACACTAAACTACCTGGTAGTAAGATAAAATAGTTCATCAGTAGCTACTGAACCAAGCAAATTTTATCCCATCACTGCTCTTGATGGACGCGACAGCTCTGCTGGAACTCGTGTAGTGTGAGTGGTTGCGATACATTATAGAGTTCTGGAGCCGTCCGGTACATCACCACGGCAGCGAAGCGTCACTCAACGCAGTTAACGTCCTAGCTCAGTTACGATATTTTAAACAACGAACATTCAGACTCTATTATTTAGTAAAATTTTAGGTGGAAAACTGTAATATGTATACTAGTACTTTATTTTCTGCTTTAAAATGTTCAATTATTTACCTTATAAAAGAATCACAAAACTCTCTTTATCTGAAAAATTCTGGGCAGTTGCTTAAAATATATGTAATTAAAATCGAATTGCGAGGAAGTCTGTCATAATTCAGTTCACTGTATTTCATTCTACCGTCTCCTATCTAAAAAAGTAACATTAAAATAAAAAATTTCATGATTACTCCTTGTTTGGCACAGACGTGAAGGACCGGTGATTTAAAGAAATGCTAAGAAACATATTTAGACACAACTTACGGGATGAGAAATTCATATAAGATATAGGTCTGAATACCTGAACAAAATAGCCTACTTAAAATGTCAAGTCAAAGATGGGAAGATAATATTGAAATGGGCCTTTACACGTAGTACATGTGGCTGAGGTATCGATTTATCTATCTCAGGAAATAGAACAATAGCCAACTCCTGCGAACACGTTAATGAACCTTGTAGTGCCTCAAACGAGAGGGCTCTACTGAAAAAAGTATTCTAGTCCTTGGAGAGAGCCGGATATAACAACCCTCTAATACGTATGTACATAGAAGCGTACGACCGCATTAGAAACCTTTTTATGCAAGTTTTTCAGCATGATATAGTAGGCGAAGAGTACATGGTCAATTTATGATTGTGTCTGTTTTTCAGTGTCTGACCTGTACGCGAAAGAACTCTTGGTTTTTGAACGTTCCTTCTGCATTTCAACTTTATCAATTTTTAATTAATATATCACAGCAATAAAGAATAATATCAAATAGCAACAGCGATTCTGGACCCAGACTTGCTTACTTCACCCCTGTAAATAAAATGTGGAAAAGTTAGAATCACACTCCCAATAATTCACAGGACTTGCTTTTTTGCGTAACAAAGGACAGCCATTTTATTGTCTGTAAAAACATTTACGATCCTTCGGCATAACTACCCAAAGATTTTAGCTAGACCCCGATGTTTATCGACTGCGTTGTAACACGGTATGGACTTGTTTCGGAGAAAGATATAGCCTCCATCTTCAGTGATGCCTCAGCCCTGTCTTGCAGATATCAGCAACATGTTTCTCCGAAACGTTGGTCGACACAGTCTCACAACCCAGAAAATCACTAACATTTTCATCGCCGTGAGAACATCAACTCGAGAGCTAAAATTATTGAAGCTTCCAGAACTTTACTTGAAATCTTTAATATAAAATGCCAATTATATTTAGAACTATACATCAAACTGTCATTCACGATTCGTGGATCAAATGACAACAGAGTAGAGAGAATGTCCGTCATGCAGAAACCTTGCTTTAAACAATGTCACTGAATTTCTCTCACCAGCAGGATGGAAGCCATAACTGACACCGTAATAAACGCTGTCAGTTGCTATTTTGTTGGCAAATGCCTCGAGAAGACAAGACTCCTAGGAATGTTTGCTTTGTTTAACTTCCCATACAGTCTTCCTTCGATGTGTAAGGCAATTATACTGCATGATTAAGTAGCTTATTGCAATCTACCTCGACCCACATCAGCCACGTTGTTTAATACACAACGCACACAAGTACATTATTAGTTTTAAAAGTATACTGAATCTATGCAACGTATGCGCATAGGCTCATATTAACAGTTAGTTCAGTTTTCCAAAGTCCAAAACGATAGATATTCGACAGCAGCGCGGCTTGAATCGAGGTTGGAGGTAAAAAAGATCATTACCGCAATACACTCTTCTGAATCCATAATCACTTAAAAATTCGATTTTGCACAGATTATTTAATTGGTAGAGCATTTTAAAAATTACATATCTTTTTCACTATTCCAACATTATACACAGGGATAGGAGCTTTGAAATTAAAATACTTAGCCTACACCCCTTGTTACAGAAATATTTATTTTCCATGTGTATTACTAATTTTCGTAATGCGAGTGTAGAGGCTTACAAGTTTCAATATTCACCATGAACAATGGAAGTAACTAAAACGATTCTTGAAACAGGATTGCAAATTTCAGCCCAGCTTTCAATAGATTAATTATGAAAACTTCGAATCCTACAAAATAATAATTAAATAAGAATTTGTTGTTTGCTGTTACAGGCAAAGAAGACCATCACGTTGGAACGCGCTATGAAGACGAATAAAGTGGGCAACCAGACAAACTCTCAAGACCCTCAAGCGGTGAACTCGCGGGTGTTTGTCGGAAATCTCAACACGTTCCACTGTAGTAAAATTGACGCGGAGCGAATTTTTCAGCGATACGGACGCATTGCCGGTAAGTTCCCTCACTCCACATGCACTCACACGTTTGGCGTTCCTAGCCTTCACTCAAATGGTCATTGTCTAATTAATAGTAACTGTCTCTAGAAACAATTTACGAAACTCATCTACGCCTATATATACAAAATCTATATTAAAATTAAATTAGGCCTAAATATTATTTTAAAAGAGTGAATAAAATCTCAGATCTCAAAGAATTATCTTATGAAATCCAATTTCTTACACTGATGAATTTTCCAGTTTCGTAATGTCAGGGAATTTCTTGAAGATCTGATACTGATCCAGGACCAAATCTTGGATAAGTTTTTAAGTTCCCCCAGAAAAAGTGCTTTCTACAGATTCAACAGTAACTTTAGAAGGCAAAGTCTTTAAATTCGAAACCCAGATTATCTGTTTCATAAATTTGTTAACGATATCCTCAAAGCTAAAGAGGTTTTCAGTTTAATGAATGTGACTTTTAATAGACAAAAATTTAAACATACGATTATTACACCTGTAAGAGGGATATTTTATGCACATGCAAGCTATATATTTCTTTTTAGATATGTGTTAATATATTCGACTGCGTTTTACTGTTGTGTAATAAACACTTTCTTTATTAGTAGCTGAGATGCTACAAGTTACGAAGGTTTTAATTTTTAAAGCCCGTAATATTATAATTTTTAATCAGTCTACAGAGTTGGCTGAACTGTTGAAAATCTTTGTCCTGTAATTGCATTCATGGACCAGGAAGCATTTACAAAAATATGTAGAGAAAATTGTTAATTACTCGTTTTGTAATTTTTTAAATTACTTCCAACGCTTCGCTGAATAAAACTTGTTAGCTCTGCGCTGTAGAAAGCATAAGCAAAGTTTAAAATATTATGCAAATGCTAGATGTATATGGGTTTCACTTCAACAAAATAAGCATAGAAATTGATCCTCCACGTTTTTGCAGTTTCTAGAAAGAAATTAACAAGTCTGCTACATGAATTGTACACTGCATCTCGGTTCTAAACTTCTTTGGTCAGCCAGTTCAACAAAATCCACGTTCAATTATATAATCACGCAGACTATAATAAATTCAAGAGTCTTTCGAATTTCTTTCAACTTATACAACATCCAGCAACTGGAAGACTAAGAATTATAGACCGACTGTAAAGCTTGATGCAGAAAATTATTACATGTTTATATTTTCTAGATCTTATTACACAGATCTCCATAAGAATTCACTAAACGCTATATAAATCACAGCATATAAAACAATGCACTGCAGGACATTTGATGACAGTAGTTAATAATAACCACTTTAAGAGTGCTTTATTGGGGTAAAATAATTAATTTAGCTGATACTAAAAAACAACATGGCTACAAAACCTAACCTAACCATCATAAAAACATTCACTGTTGTGAAAACAACAAATCTCAAAATGTACTCTAAGGTGGAAGAATGTTTTAAGAAAGAGTCTTATGTAAATACGCTTTGCTCTACACAAAGAAAAGTACGAAGGAAAAAAAACAAAGGACTGTTATTGAAGGAGTGGATGTAACTTTTATTACAACAAAGTAAATAAGTATCATGCAGCACATCAATAATTGTAAACAGCACCATCGTTTATTCTATACTAATTTACCAGCTTCTCTTGTGTACATTAAATACGGAGAAGTTAAAATAAAGGACATAGTTATGTTGTTGCAACTGGTTCTGATATGTTTCACAAAAATACGTTTCCACTCTGCTTATGTTGGCATTTTGTGTCTGCTGGATAGATTCCATGAAAACGATGTGGGAGCCAGACAGATGTTTAGACTTTGCTGGGGATTTTTAGCTTGAAGAGACAGTATTTTTATTTTAAAACATGTTGAATGTAAGCTATATACAAGTATTTTTCATTCTTGGGTTTACATTATCCCATTAAAAAAGAATATACATCACGACTCCCTCCATCGATAACCAGAATACAACGAATTCGAAAGAAAAATACGCGGACTTACTTTTTCTAATGATTTTAGAAGTTTGTGTTTCACTGTTTAGGCCTGAAAAATTTCGTCATATCGATATTTATTCTACAAAGAGTTATTTTTGCGCAGTGCAGTAGAAATTTGCCGACTTTTAGATACACTTACTTCTTTCATTATCAGAGCGATCGCCCTGATATAGAAGGCAATAAATATCTGTTAAACTTCAACCGATTTATATCAAATTACGCGGCGCAATATCCCAGAAAACAGTCATCTATCTTTAGTTCAGTAGCTAATCGTCTATTTAGTCGGTCTTTCAGAACAAGGTCTTCGACCAATGTTATATCTAAGACACTTACTTCAGGTGGTTTGAAATAATTCGTCAGCGTAACTGAAGAAAATCATAGATCTCATGATAGAAGTAACGTAACTTTAAAACGTAAAGCAGGGATGACAAGAAGGTTATCGCAATGTTAGGTTTATACCTAAAAATCCTTTACGCACCAGTAATTTTCCCTCGTAATCAACTTCGGAAGCTACTCACCGTCCCGGAACGAAATGGTATGAGATTCATTTCTATAGGAAATACTATTATGCTGCAAACTTTAGGCACGCGCCTGTCGAGAAATCTAAGAAAGATTTTACGCTCTTACGACAGCAATTATAAAATGGTAAGCACCTCTAAAACACTAGTAAATATCTACTACACTACTTGGCGTTGAAAGCCAGAATACAGCAGTCTTAATAGAAATTCTAATTGTGTACGTATATACCTAGGTTTGTTTTAATTGAATACATTTGGAAATATTTTAATTCTTGAGCTAGAAATGCATAATTAGTTTAATATTGCTATGTGTGATATGTAAATTATTTTGAATATTTTATGGAATGTTTGATATAAAATAAAATACTTAGACCTAAAACATCACAATAACTTTTAGAAACTGAGAACCATAACATCCAATATTTTTACTTCAAATACTATACGGAATTTAAGCTAAAATGATCATCTGTAGTATACTATTATGTGTAATACACCTTAAAATCTACAGGCTTAAAAAATTATTTTCACGTCCTGTTCTTATTCAAGCTGAATTCTTGTACAGGGTACATTCACGTGTACAACACGATATATATACATGTATAGTTTTAACCTCTAAACAAGATAAAAAGTAATTAAAAGCATGTAAACATGCAAACATTAGCTTTTGGATGCCTGTCTGAAAAAAAGTTCAAGTAATTTACCAGATCCCAATAAAACAGGCATCACGACAGAACTTACACAACATACTAATCACCCTCTCTTCCGTAATATAGGACGCCACATTCAGAACTAATGCTCTCAAATTAAAGCTCCAACATTACTTTACGGTACCTTACCAATATCAGGCCAAATTAGCTCCACAAAACGAACAGCCTCTAAAATAATGCTTTCGTGAAGACGCTTGAATTTGTGTGTAGAACCTACACTGATTCAGATGCGGGGTTTGCCCTTACATTACAAATTTAAGAAACGTGTAGCGATTAAATACAGGTTCCAAATTTAGAGATACTGAACATCGACAAAAGAACCATAAAACAACTTTGGTGTTCAGGATTGTTGATAACTTGCTCTAAGCAGCGAAGTCCTTCATAAATCCCGAGCATCAAATAAAAGTGTGGAAGACAAGACATATACCTGAACTGAACAGAGGCATCATGCGGACCAACAAACCGGATTTCTCTCCATGACAAAACCAATGGGCAGTAGCGGGAGATTAACTGTTGTCGTGCCGCCTGCATTCCGCCGATAAAGAGCTTTATTTTGGTCGGAAGAACAATTTCAAAATCGATATATAACGGTCGACAGCAAAGAGGAGACGCATTGAACATATACTGGTTATTTAGCTTAGAATATAAGGCAGTGATGAGCAGTTCAGAAGTAGTTGTACTTTACTGCAGTAATGTTTGTAGAAGAAACGGTTACTGGGTGTCGCGATGCGGTGATTAGGAAATACATATAATTCGTATTACGAAGCTACTCCGATGTAAACTCGAAGTGAGAAAGAGTTCATAGTGCGTAGTTTTACCCCCAGTTTTCTTTTTACTATCAGGAAAATTTTAGAATAATATCGAGTCATTTTAATACAGTGAGAATCTGAAATCTCACTCCAAATACTACGTGTTTTGTGGGGGGAAAAAAAACTATCTGAGAAGGAAATACTACGCTTATATACTTTTTCTTAAGTTTCAAATTTGCAGATCTTTTAATGTAATAACCAGGCAGAAATACCGAATCGGACGCATTAAGATAGTCTCTTTCCAATATTACACACAGTATTATTATATGAATGCTTTTGATAGACAAGAATACCGTAATCACTAATCAATACATCTGTGTATCGGGTTATCTCGTTACAATTAGCAACTACTAATACAACAGATAATAAATACGGGTTTATTGTGGGGCTCAGACATTGCGCTGTGTAGTTTTGTACAAGTTTACCGACGTTTCAGAGATGAGTTCAAATTATACGAGACTAAACGGCGCAATATCACAGACGGCTGGCATCTTTATGATTAATATGTTGAATATAATGGAATACCAGTTGATAACGCATGGCTACATTTGTTCTGATACTATAATGCCCATTTATAAGGGGCTGCCTAGCATATTGCACTTTTACTAGATCCGAGATCCACTAAATCGTGTTTCATGATAAATGTCATTATTCAAAGTCAGATACATGCCTCAGGATTAGGAATTAGGTAAAACGAGTATTAACGTCCTGTAATTACCTATAAAATAAAATTCTGATGGAAAACCGTCGAAGCGTAATGCAAGCAGGAAATCGGTCGGATATGATAGCAGACCATCGGCAAGACACTCTGCAGGTAGCTACATAACGAACCTAGGTTGCAAATAGAGCCAGGTGTTTACATAAAAACCTGGATCAGATTTTATAATTTCACTGTAAGCTTGACCTAATTTATTTTGGTACGTTACTTTCAAAGCATTAATTTCGGCTTTGTGACCAAAATTCCTTCATCCATTAAGATTATAACTTTAGAACA